CCAGCAAAAGTAGAGAACCTGTTCAAACAGTCATGTCTAGAAAGGAGAGCTGACTGCAATTTTCTTACAAGGATATAAGCAGCTCATACTAAAAAAAAAAAAAAAAAAAAGGAAAAAATTTGCTGTTGCTTTTCAAGGTAGTCCTAACTGCCAGTATGCTTCTCTACCATGAAGTTAACAAAACTACCATGATGCCAGAACCCAGACTGCTTATCATACATTATAAAACATTTAGTAACTTATGCCAACCAGTTACTATGCCTAAGTCCTTCTGTTTGAGCTTTTCAGAGATGAGGGTTCCTAAACTGGAACTCAAAATTATTTTCATTTTTTTCATTCATGTAGTATTTTACTATAAAGCTATCAGTTATTGCACATTTGAGACTGATCACATTATCCTACTTCATTCTCACTTGGAAATGCCATTAATATTTTCTCGTAATGCACCTAAAAGAATGACAAATCCCGACCCAGGATGATGCAACTAATGATGTCAAATGCTATATCTAATAACAATCAAACAACAGATTCTGGTCAACATTTTTGGGGGATTAGCTATGCAGATATAGTGACACTGATTCCTTTTGAAAAACCATCTATTTTAGACTGAGTATTGTGTTATAAAGGAAAACAATTATTTCCACATTATTATATTTTGCTATGAAGTTACATTTTTATATTTAAAATTATTTAATATTAGTTATATTATTGTTTAATATAGTTGTAGTAACGCCTTTATCTTTTACTTACCAAAAAAAAAAAAAAAAAACACCTTCTGCTGGTTTTTAGGAGGAAAGAAACCGTAGGGGAATATGCTTTTTAACCTAACCTTTTTCAAACATCTAGATGACTTTGGGCAACAATAAGGTATGATTTTATTAAAGGAATGTCAAGAGACCAAAGGACAGGGAATTTCCTGTCCTTTGCACTCCAGTTTTTGGCATTTTTTAGCCCCGGTATTTTTAGGAGAGATTGGTATTGTTGTTAGAAAGAGCACCTATTCACAGTATAACAGAGGAATAGGAGTTTGTTGTAAAACCATCTATTAGAGGATGTTCATTGTCTACAGACTTTGAAGCACTGAACCTGCTTAGAATGTGTACAAAATAATTTAATTTCTATATGAATGTAGTATCTGCTTCTGGATAATAACTCTTAAACAAAACTTTCAGAAGTTTATAAGTTAAATTTCAGTTTTGGTCCATACTCTCTTGTTTTAAGATTCTCTTACTGATAAATATTCAAAGGAAGTGTTGAACACTTGCCCTTTGAATAGGAGAGAACAAGATCACTTTAAAAGTTAATTTCAGCTTCCCTGATTTTGTTTTTCTGAAATGAGACATGGATTTCCCTTTGAAAGGAAGTTCATCACTCTGTTTTCTCATAATCTGAAATTTATCTGTTTATAAGCACTTGCAGGGATGGGAGGAGTTATGTTTCTTTGGACTCCAGTATAATCCTGGGTTAACCTGGTGAACTACATTTTTCCTGTACAAAGACTATCATAGAGCTGTTGTTGACATAATGCTACCTTAACTCTGTAATGTGAACCAAGGGCAAAAACCCATTTATTCTGATGAACCCTCTTCTGCCACAAAACCGTAATCTGCAAATTTGTGGACCTATTTTTACCTGTGTGGTATATGAACTGTTGCAAGTGAGATAGCAGCGGCTCTTGCTCAAAGACGTGGTTCAAGTACATTTCCTGTGGTCACTGTATATCAGCAGAAGTGGCTACCCTGTGCTTGATCAGGACAAGGCTCGTCCTTGCCAAGTGCTGCTGTGGGTGCTTCTTTGCTGTGTTGGACTCTTTGAAAACTAAACAACATCCTGCTTTTCTTTATTTTATTATTTACTTATTTTAACTCGCATATAAGAGCAGGAAGACCTGCCCTGGGTAGAGGAAGATTGGGTCAGAGATCACCTAAGGAACCTCGATACCCACAGATCCATGGACCCTGATGGGATGCACCCCAGAGTGCTGCGTGAGCTGTCGGATGTCATATCTAAGCCACTCTCCATCATCTTTGAAAGATCCTGGAGAACACGGTAGGTGCCAGAAGACTGGAAGAAGGCCAATGTCACTCCTGTCTTCAAAAAAGGCAAGAAGGAGGACCCAGGCAACTACAGGCCAGTGAGCCTCACCTCCGTCCCCGGAAAAGTGATGGAACGGCTCATACTGGCCGTTGTCTTCAGGCACATAGAGGACAAGAAAGTGCTCAAGAGTAGTCAGCATGGATTCACCAAGGGGAAATCTTACTTGACTAACCTGATAGCCTTCTATGATGAAATGACAGGCTGGATAGACGAGGGGAGCGGTGGATGTCGTCTATCTCGACTTCACCAAGGCTTTTGACACCGTCCCTCACAACAGCCTCCTAGGCAAGCTCCGTAAGTGTGGGATAGATGAGTGCACAGTAAGGTGGATTAGGAACTGGTTGGATGGCAGAGCTCAGAGGGTGGTGATCAGCGGTGTAGAGTCTAGTTGGAGGCCTGTAGCTAGCGGGGTCCCCCAGGGGTCAGTCCTTGGTCCAGTCCTGTTCAATTTATTCATCAATGACCTGGATGAAGGCACAGAGTGCTCCCTCAGCAAGTTTGCTGATGATAC